TTAAAAAAATTAAAATATATACACAAATAGAAAATAAACCTGTGCAAATTCATTTTTCAATCTTATGTCTGTTACATTTATAGAATATTACCAAAAGGGAAAACAATAGTCCCAAATCTGTAAATGTGACTATTCTAGCGAAAGTGCCCTTCCCAGGTCTCTTCTATTGGCATAGCCAATAAAGCCCCACCAGCCTTTAACCAAAGTATATATCATCATCATCACAACCTTTTATTGGAATCACATACAAACATCCATAGCAAATCAATACAGAATTACCACCTCCCCAGTGACACAAAGCAACTGTCAAATGAAAAAAGGCAAAGCAGTCTAACATTACATCTCCAGTCTCTAGAGATCAGACGTCTGCAATGTGTTTTGACGACAAAAACACCAAATAAAGATATTTAGCCACTAACTAGGTGAGCTCCTAATCATTCCCCAGTAATAGTAAATGTATGACCTCCAACTCTGGTGGGATGCAGAGTTGATCTAGGAACTGCTGGCGGAGATCAGCATATAATTTACATTTAAGAACCATGTGTGTAAGAGTTTCCACCTGATGGTCTTCACATGGGCAAATTCTTTCTCCTTCCACCATTCCGGAGAACCTTCCCCAAAGGAGGTTTGATGGATTTGAATTAAACTTGGCCAGTGAAAATGCCCTTCTTTCTTGAGGATTAAGCAAAAATTCAAGATAATTATGGTTAATTTCATGTGCCCAAGGAAGTTGAAAGTGAAGAGAGGAACATATTTTCTCTGCTGCTGCTGTTAGTTGCTGGCGTTCGATATCCCATAAACTTTGTTGTCATTATAGCCTTGGCAGATGGTGGGTACATCGCTTGCAAAAGTTCCACTGACAGCCGCAGTCGCTGTACCTTTATGTTAAACCGTTGTAGCCCTGGGGAAGGAAAGGGGTCTAACAAAACTTCACTGAGGAGAGGATCTTTATCTGTTGTAAGGCAGATGTTTAACGAGCATAAAAGAAATCTCGCCCAGGCAATGGTCTCTACCAAAGTAGATATCAATTAGCTTGACCAGTTAATGTTTACATTTTGTATGTTTTTCCCCAAAAGTGCTACTTGCCAAACCTTTGATACTGAGATTCTAATTGAAGTTATTCCAATGTCTGGCAATAATAGCCCTGTTTTTTGTTTGTAATATCAACATCTTCTGTCACAAAATTGTCCTGCAAAGCCAGCTGTGGGGAGGGCAACATTTATTATGTCACCATTAAGCCAATTTCTCTGAATTGTAGTTCCTCAAAACTTTGAAGTTTACTACACATGCATATATGAACCAGTAGGTTGGCACTCTCTCCAACAGTCTAGGATTGCTCAAAGGCATTTTACAACATGTGAGGTGACACTCAAAGGTGATATTTCAATACAGTTCTCTGTATTGGGCAGAAATACCCTTAAAGGAGGCTTGGACCAGACCAGAGTCCAGGATGCTTCACCAGTTTGGCTACCTAAGTTACATTCTCACATTAGTCCAGCTGCTGTTCTGAATTCTATATTTAATACTAATTTGTAAATATTTGAAACAAGCCCCTTTCTGTTTGAGGTATAATCGATTAACAACTTAGCTGTCATGTTTGGATCCCTTCAGTCAGTATGCAAGTTCCCATAATGCTACACATCTAAACTGTATGTTGGCCACTGTTCTTAACGGCGAGTCTCCAGATCTTCAACTCCTTGAAAGATTCCATCAACGATGGCTCCGAAATTTTTTACACATCACTTGGGAAGACAGGCAAACTAATATCAGTATACTGGAAGAAGCAAAGAATCACCAGTGTTGAAGTAATGATTCTTCAACATCAACTTCGTTGGACTGGTCATGTTGTGCAGATGCCTGATGATCATCTTCCAAAGCAACTACTCTATGTACAATTAGCTCCCTATGGGGCAGAAGCTGTGGGTATGTGAGAAGTACCATCAGCTCCTGGCACCTTAGGAACAAGTTTGTTCCCTTGAGACTAAGGTAGCAGAACTAGAAGGTGTGAGAGAGGCCGAGTGTAGTGGAGGTGGCGTCAGGGACATGGTATCTGGGTCCCATGACCATGATGACAGCTCCACTGCTGTCAGGGAGAATGGAAGTCTTGAGGAACAAGATCATCATCTTGAGGAAGACAGACGCATTCCCTTAGAAGGGACCCTTTCCTTGGGGGATAATCATGTAACCTCTCATGCCAAAGGTACCCTCCAGTGGGGTGGAGGGATTGTGGTAGTAGGTGACTCTATTGTTTGGAATATATAGTTGGGTGTGCAGTGGGCATAAAAACTGCAGGATGAATTGCCTGTCAGGCCAATCAGTGCAATCAGGGGAGCCAGTGGTCATGGTGCATGTTGGCACCAATGACATGGGGAAAGTAGTCTTCCCCCTCGGGTATAGATGATAAAAATCAATGAAAATCTAAATGGTTGTGGCAGAGAACCAGTCATTGTAAGAGGAGGGGAACAAGATAGCAATTCAGAGGGCCATAGCCTGAGATAGACAGACAGACAGATTGACAGACAGACAGTATACAAGTGTTTATACACCAATGCTTTACGCCAGTTGCTGGAAACCATGGGAGGAGAGGCTCTGGGCTCATGGTTTCACATGCATCTGGTTGGTCACTGTGAGAACAGGATGCTGGACTGGATGGGCCTGTGGCCTGATCCAGCAGGCTATTCTTAGGTTGTTTATTTTAGGGTCCCTCCACTCAGATGGAGACTGAAATGAGTGGCAGCTTAAAATCCTGAGTTATACCCCATTGTTGTTGTTTAGTCCTTTAGTCGTGTCTGCCTCTTCGTGACCCCATGGACCAGAGCACGCCAGGCACTCCTGTCTTCCACTGCCTCCCGCAGTTTAGTCAACTCATGCTGGTAGCTTCGAGAACACTGTCCAACCATCTCATCCTCTGTCGTCCCCTTCTCCTCGTGCCCTCCATCTTTCCCAACATCAGGGTCTTTTCCAGGGAGTCTTCTCTTCTCATGAGGTGGCCAAAGTATTGGAGCCTCAGCTTCAGGATCTGTCCTTCCAGTGAGCACTCAGGGCTGATTTCCTTCAGAATGGATAGATTTGATCTTCTTGCAGTCCATGGGACTCTCAAAAGTCTCCTCCAGCACCAGAATTCAAAAGCATCAATTCTTCGGCGATCAGCCTTCTTTACGGTCCAGCTCTCACTTCCCTACATCACTACTGGGAAAACCATAGCTTTAACTATACGGACCTTTGTTAGCAAGGTGATGTCTCTGCTTTTTAAGATGCTCTCTAGGTTTGTCATTGCTTTTCTCCCAAGAAGCAGGCGTCTTTTAATTTTGTGACTGCTGTCACCATCTGCAGTGATCATAGCTTATGGCAAATGCATACATTTCACGTGTATTTTTTTTTGGGGGGGGGTATAGGGCAGTTTCAGAACTGGGACTAATCCATTTGCTAATTCATTCAGGGCTCCAGCACTTCATGAGCTCTACCAACCAATTTGATCGGTAGTTTGTGCCTTTTTAAAAAGAAGAGAAGCTGGATCCAGGAACAGCAATGGCTTGGGATTTCCCTCCAGATGTCTAAACTAGAGCTTTTAAAAGTCTCCTTGTCTCTCATCTTCAGTGACCATCATGAAAATCTCAGTTCTCCTAGTGCAGTGAATGCCTTGGTGTCTTTGGTTGGGCAGATGAAATTAATTTTCCCTGTGCTTCTGATGGGTGGATTAAGAGACACGGGCAAATACATTTCTCTACAGCCAGGCCTTTGGCTGATTAAACATTTGATGGCCTTTAAAATGTGCTTGTGGTAGGGGGTGTTATTAGTTTGTTTTGTGGTTTTAAAAAATGTATTATGTGTTCTCATTTTGTATTGTTATGTTGTGAATGAATGAATGAATGAATGTATAAGCTGCTTGAAAACCTCGAGTTTGTTGACACAGAACTGAGCTTTTTTTGTGTGAGAGACAGGAGGGCAATCTAATTAATCAATCTAATTAATTACCCACCCTTCACCCTAAGATTTCAGGGCAGGTAACAGTGTTAAAAACAGTATTACAAACCATTTAGAAACAACTTACAACCAACACAATAAAAATGGGAGTGGAAACTGTTGCTAAAACCAAAGATGATTTAATTTGTTTAAATGCCATACCTAGGTATTTGGTTAAATTTGAAATTTCTGTCATCGTGGTTTTGCTTCTTTACTAATTTGCTGGTTATCAGGCCCACTTCTTTGTAAGATTTTGTCATTTTGGAATATTGTTGGCTTTTGGTTTATTTTTATTACTTTGTTCCAAGCTTAGCTGGGGCAGATGTGTGCCCAGCGCAGACCATTGCTTGGGTCAGGTACCTGTTCCTAAATCCAGCCTTAGATTTATTTGCTTAATGAGACATGGCCCTTTGCCATCAAGATCCTCAGTAAGGCACCTTCACTGAAGATTTGCAAAACAAACTGAAAACAGGTCTTCAGCGCGTTGCAAGACACATTTTATATCACATGTATTGGTTTGTGAAGGTAGAAAAAGGTTACTCTAGTACATTAGGAATTCTGTATCCAGTGTCCTTGCTTGGCTCATTTGCATCCTCTCTCTCGTCCCTCTCTCTCCTCTCTCTCTCTCTCTCTCTCACACACACACACACACACACACACACAAAAGCAAAACACTGAAATCTAGTATTCTGGGTTGATCTGGGTTTATTGATAGGAAAAAAGAGAACCGAATCATCCTGTATGTGCCAAGGCCAGGCAGGCAGCCCGATTCTTCCAGCCTCTCCCCTTCCTTGGCCAGGGACTCCTCACCTCCAGTCACCCATCACGTAAGCTGAACGCTTGTCTCGCTGCAAGAGATTTCAGCCAGGCTTGTGGCTTGAGACTTCACAGAAGTAACAGCCAGCCTTTCAGCACAGTTCAGCACATACTCCCATGCCGAGGGCCTTAGTATATGTGAAACTATGCCGGCAGAGAGAACAGTTTGCAACATTCTCCCAAGCAACCACTATTTCGCATTCTCTCTTTGCTGGGGTTCACTAGACCAAGGCTGCGGACCTTGCACAACGGCTTGGTGCTATGCAAATGAAAAATAGTAGAGGAATGGCCTGTAAACGACAGAGCAGACTTGAACTTGCTTCATGCAAACCTTCCCTCCCCAACAGAATGCTAGGAAGAGGCCAAGACAGGACAGGGAAAGCGTGTCCTCTCCCTCGCCACCCTCCTCCAGGTTCAAGGCACACAGGTGAGAGGCAGCCATCTGCATAAGCCCAGGGGTTTCCTCCACATACACAAGAGCTTTGGGGAAAGTGGGGTGGGCGGTGAATGAGTTCCAGCTCTCCACTCCATGTTGCATTGAGCCAAAGGCCTGTTTCCACCTGGAACTGCACACCCCAAAACAGCATCAGGTCAAGAGACTCTTGGCTGCACAAAGCTCCCAATGAGTCAAGTGGGTGGCCTGGTTTTTGTTGCTCCTGATGCCAAGCACAGCTGGCATGAGACTGTGAGGGTTGACGCCAACAGCGTGGCATGGGAGGGCACCACAGATTTGGCACCAAGGCTGCCATGGCCGTGTGAGGCAGCTTATGGAAGCCTTTTAGGCTATGGTGGGGCCATGCCTGAGGGTACTTGAGAGAGACAGAGAGAGAAGGGGATGGGAAGGAGGGAGAGAAAGAAAGAAAGAGAAAGAAACTCATGAGACGACAGTGGGTCCAACGAAGACAGGTTTGCACCTTATGGGCAAGAGATGCCCCTCACACTTGCGAGTCACTTTGTAGGCAATTCTAATGGGATTCTGGTCACTATTGAAACACACTGTTCTTCCTGGCGAGCAACTGAAACGGTGCCCAAGAAGTCTTGCAGGGGGGAAAGCCACAGGTGAAAAAGTTCCAACACTTGTTGAGGTTCAGAAATCCAGTTCATCTGAATCAGCGCTGCCAGCAGCTGGTAATTCATCCTGCCTGCGCCCCCACACAAAACGATAGTTGTCTTCCAACTGTCGCTGCCTCCGCTGCTCTTTATGAGCTTCTTCCGTACCCTGGATCTGGGAGGGGAAGCAAAAGGCAATGAGGGCAGGGAGAAGCACACCAACACATTCGTGTATGTGTATGTATACATCTTCCTATATACATCAAAATGAAACCAACATTGGAGGATTTGTAGTGCTGTATCACAATCTTGGATTTGCATGGAGTCAGGGTGCAGAAAAGTGGTGGTTTAAAGGAGCAGAAGCATGACTAAAGCTGGAAAGGAAATGGAGGTTTCAAACAACACCAGAAGTTTTAGGACAGCAGGAATGGAGACAAACTGAAAGGGAAAAAGTGGTGATTTTATAGAATGACAGAGGGTTGAGTACAATGAACATGGGGAGGGGGAGAGAAATGGGATTTCAAAACAAGGTTTGGTACAGCAAAAATGGAGCTGGGAAAGGCTCTGTTGTGTTAGCTTTTTGATGTGGGCAGAGAAGGGTACAACACAAAAACTATTTCTTCTTGTTAAAACTGATTTGCCTTTAAAAAAGACCACACCTCAGTCTCTTTCCATCCTTGCTTTACTCAAACCTCTGCTATTGTTTGAGTACAGTGAGATGGGAGAAAAACTGAAAGGGAAAAAAAGACTGTTAAAAACTTCTCCCTCTTCCATTCTTCACTTGTCTCATGTGTGAGAGATAAACTATGATATTCCATACGACCTTTACATTATATGTTTCTCTCCCGCCACTATGTGTTGTCTTCAATAAGAAGTTCCAAATTCAATTTGGGAACTTAACAATTATTTTATTAACAAGCAATCACCCATATATGTGCAACAACCATCAACTGAAACCTCTCTAACTGAACAAGCTGACAGGCTTGCTCTTAAGCCTCTATTTATTTTCAAGATACGGTAACATATCAGCACAAAATGTATGTGCACAAAGTAGCTGCACATTAGGAGAGAGGCGAAGGCAAGGAAATGGGGTGATCTGTGTGCAAGGAAGAGATGAGAAAAGGTGCATAGAGGAAAAAGGGTGTAAAGGTGAAAAGTGGCTTATAAAGGGGGTTACAAAAAGGGGGGTTTAGGAGCCATGAGAAAGGGGTTCAAGATGAAAGCAGGGGTGTAAACGGGTCTGAAGAACAGGAGGAGATTATGGCTTGTTAACTGAGAAGGTGAAAAGTCGGTCCAATATGTAGAAAAAAGAAGATGCAGAACATTACCACGGGGGTGGTTTCTTTCCAAGGGGGCTGCACAAAATGGGGGGAGGTACAGACATGGGGGTGAAGGTGAAAACAGAGGTGTAAAGTGGGGCTGAGGGAAAGAAGAGAGAAAAGGCTTCAGAAATAGGGTTGGGAAGGTGAATAGCAAGCAGGGGCACAGCACTGTGTGTGTGTGTGTGTAACATATATACACATACAATCAATCATATGAATGGTGGGTGACAAATTCTAGGTCCCACTGCCAACCCAAGATATTTTGGCACTCTAGGTATAAAATCTAAATGGCAAGCCCTCTCCCCCAACAGGAAAGGAATACAGGGAGTGCACCGTAGAGCCTGCCAGGAGGAAACACATCCCTCATTCCACCAAGAGGCTCTTCTGCCCAAGCTTTGTTGACATGAATGGGAAGTGCACTGCTCCCATTCATTCCTGTGAAACATGCCTAAGAAATGTTCCTGGGAGATTCTGCTCTGTGGGTTTGTTTTGAGTTTCCCACTCTGCTGCCATCTTTAAGGGTACTGAAAAAGCCACCCTACTTAAGTGATTACCATTTATTAGTCATGGTACAGCTACTTCCTGCATGGGCTTTACCAGGTGAATCTTGTGGTCCTGTCCAACTCTACAATTCTATGATTCTATGTGCAGAGCAGGGCCAGCCCACTCGTGAGGTAAGGTGAGGCTACCGCTTCAGACGGCAGCATCCACTGCGACAGAAGATCCAGCCTCCAAGGAATGCATTGCCCACTGCTGCCGACTACAGCTGTCCCCCATGCCGCCTCTACAGTGGCCTCTTGGCAAATAGAAGGTGCTGCTGGTCTCCCTCCCACCGTTGTTCCCTTGTTTCCAGTGTAGATCTTTATTCCCCCCTTGTTTCTGATGCAGATCTTCACTCACCCCTTCTTCTCTGGCAGGGGTGGGTGGGGAGTACCATTTTGCAGTTTGCTTCAGGTGCCAAAATGTTTTGGGCCAGCCCTGGTGCACACCCTTGTCCCCACCAAAGACCACAACTATAGCCAGTGTTCCACACCAGAGGACAGGACTTGCAAGCAGTTCTTCCTCTTCCTTATTCCATATTAAATATAAACATGGTGTGATATGGAGGGGAACAACCTCTTTCTCCTCATTAAAACACTCCCTTCATCTTGGGCCCTCACCAGAATATTGAAGAAGATGTCCTTGAGATTTTTGGTGTCCTCTTCTGACAGCCAATGGGTATCATCATCGTCGCCCAGGCCACCCGTGGTCACAATCTTGATTTCAATTTTACCTGCCAGCCACAAAGTTAGCCACACGTTAGTTGCCCTGCCCCCAGTCCTTGGTGGGTCATATTTGAGGGAAATGGCACATGAAGATACAAGAGCACGGCAAGGAGGTCTAGCAGGCTTGCCCTGCTAAGAAAGAGACAGAGGGCATCTCTTAACTGGAGAAGCAACAGCAGGAGATGCAGCCACATCAGGACTAGCCTGCCCTCAAACTACAACCAACATGTGCAGCACCCACACAAAGATCTACACGCAACAGCTGCCAGTCCACACCTCTTCCCTGCATCTCCCAGTAATATTTTAGTTAAAGCAGAAGTGCACAGCGACACAGCTTAGCTCAGTATTTCCCCTGCCTTCTGCAAATGCTGGCCAATGAAGCATTGTTTACCTTTAGATGAAGGTAAACAATGAGCCCAACTGTGTCCCATCATGCAGTTGCTATGGCCGAGTGTTATTGGAGCAGTGTGGGGAAGAGGCACAGCGAAAGGTCACAGGCAGTTTGGTCCCCAGAATTCTGTTTGGGGGAAAACAGTACTGCTAGAGGAGCTGTTTTCATGGCCCTCTTCTAGTTTTAAAGAGCTATTAGCTTGGGGGTTTAGCAAGAGCGTGTGCACGCACAACCAGTTATAGTGATTCCGGAAAGAACAGAACCAAACATTGCAGGTTGGTACACATAAGTTGCATGTTGCTTTCTCCTTTAACACAAGGGGAGTGGGATTGGGTTCCAGAGAAACCTCTAATGTTGAAGACAAGAGCATGCTGCTCCCACATTATCACCCCGGAACTAAACTGCCCATAGGTCTTTTAATTGTAGAAAGGGTCCAGGAATGGTGATGCAGGTACAGCAGGGATGGATGCTCATCTCCATGGTTACCATGTGTGGGTGAACCTGCATGTTGACATTTGACTAACAAAATGCTTAGCTTGCCATGATTTAAAATCTCAAGAATAGGAGCCACGAGGCCTCTAAGACAGTGGTACCTATGTCCCCACTGTGGAGGGATGTGTGGATCCAGAATTGGCCTCCACAGTTACTTATGGACACACTGTTAAGGCCATATTCATGGAAGACAATCCTACTCAGCTACGAGTGATCGCCAAAGAACAAGAAGGTACCTAATCTTGTATACAGGTAATTAATGCACTTTAGTCACAATTCACTGGGATTTCAAAAAGAACAAAAGTCAGATGTTACATAAAGTCACTTGATGGCCTACTATCTTGACTGCGAGTCCTGGAAGACGTGTTCTCTGACTTGTGGGCCTTTTCCCACCTGGTCTGGGAGGGCAGGGCCCTGACTGACTCCAGCTACAAATGCTGTGGCTGCTGAAGAGAATTTTGGGCTGGGGTAGGGGTTTGTGGCTACTATCACTGTTGCTGATGCTATTTTTTTTGTATTTTTATCTTCAGATCTTATTACGATTATGTGGAAATTGTTCAGTTTGGTTGTGTCTGCTTGATGTCTTTTATTTATTCTTTATTACTACTTTTGTTATGTTTGTTTTTATGTGAATCTTTTCATGTTGCAAACTGTCTTGAGCGTGGTTTTAACTACAGAAAGGTGGCATACACACAAAAGGATGATGACAATACTATGCAGTAGAACCTAGTTCAGGGGTCAGCAACCTTTTTCAGCCCTGGGCCGGTCCACCGTCCCTCAGACCATGTGGGGGGCCGGACTATATTTTGGAGGAGAAAAAAAATGAACAACTTCCTATGCCCCACAAATAACCCAGAGATGCATTTTAAATAAAAGGACACATTCTACTTGTGTAAAAACACGCTGATTCCCAGACCGACCACAGGCCGGATTTAGAAGGCAATTGGGCCACATCCGGCCCACGGGCCTTAGGTTGTCTACCCCTGACCTAGTTCTTACAAATCCAACTTCCCATTTTCTTTTCTCCTTTAACACTCTGGTTTTGACAGATATTGGTGATTACACTTGAATTCTTCCCCGTCTCCCGTATCAAAGCACATCATAAATGGGATTCACATCAAACTTCTACCTTCATCCACTACAAGCCAGCTCTTTGTTTCCCCCTACTTTACGGCTGAAGGGTCTCAAAATTAAAATGTATAATCTTACAGGCAACTCCTGGTTTGGGCATATCTGAAGGATGAATGATCAAAGATGTCAGGAAAAGGGCGAAAAGGGGCAGGGGCAGAATGGGGTGGAGCAGGCTTACTGTACTTTTAAAAATCTTCAAGTTCTAGAAGTTCAAATCCTGGCCTCAGAAACCTTCTTGGGAGAAGAATTAAGCAGATAATGTACAGTGGTATCTCGGTTTTCGAACAGCTTAGTTCACGAACATCTTGGAACCTGAATGCTGCAAAACTGGAAGTAGGTGTTCCAGTTTTCAAACTTTTTTGGAAGCCGAACGTGCTCCGTTTTGAGTCCTGAGCTTCCGTTTTTACTGTTGCGCTGCTAATTTGTGTCCCCCCCATTGTAATTGAATTATTCCATTTCCGATAGCAGTGTTCTGAGGTGATATTTGGAGCTTAAATTTGGTGCTTTTGTTTTTGCTATTTATTTTGCATTTTTTGTTTTTGAGGCTTTTTCAGTTAGTTTGTTTTTGTGACTGTGTGGAACCCAATTCAGCTACTGATTGATTGATTGTGGAAATGGATAAAAGCCCCCCCATACAAACAATGACTATCATCAGTGCAGGTAAGAAAAATGTAATTTTAAATTTTATCATCTACAATACTGTCTTATTTATCTTATAGTACAGTACATTGATTATTGCTTTCATTTTATGGATCAATGGTCTCGTTAGTAAAATTCATGTTAAACTGCTGTTTTAGGGGTTGTTTTTAAAAGTCTGGAACAGATTAATCCATTTTGCATTACTTTCTATGGGAAAGCACGTCCTTGTTTTGGAACGGACTTCCAGAATGGATTCAGTTTGAGAACCAAGGTACCACTGTGAGATTATCAGCTCAGGAGCAGAATGGCCAATGGTTCCCTGTGGTTTGCAATTAAGAGAGCCCTCCAGTGACTTTGCATCCCTGACTGCTCTCCCTTAAAGATCTCCCCCTAAACACAACCCCGCCCAGGCTAAAAAAGGCTCAAGGCCACCTCCGGCTGTCCAGGTTACATGGCTGCGTTACCTTCTGCCTTCAGGCCTTCCTTCTCCAACAGGTCCTTAACCACACTCTCTATGTGGCGCAGCTGTGGGTTGTCCCTGCTCATCTCTTGGACTCGCAGCAGCTTCTGCTGAGCGCTGCCTGGCTTTACTTTAGTGACCCTGACTTTCACGCGCCCGTCTGGGTCGCCATCTGAGACAGAAAAGGGGACAGAGGAGGGTCAGTAGGCCAATATTTGTGGAGGGAGGGGGAGAGAGAATGAGAGCGCAAGCTGGAAGGGCCTACAAGCAAGGCTGGGGATAGTCTGCATTCAAAAGGAAAATTTCTGCCAATTGTACTTATGGTGCTTTGAGCACAGTTTTTTTTTTCTAAGGGTTTATTTTCAAAGCATTTGGAAATTTTGCAAAATGCAGAAGGTCCCTGGACTGCAGAGGAAAAGGAAGGCAGGAAGTCCCAGAAAGGTGTGGTGGTTATATTGGGCTGAAAACTGAGCATCCTAAGTCCCTGAACAGCAAGTTTCTAACCCTTAAGGCAGTCTTTCCCAACCCTGGTGCCCTCCGGACTCCCACCATCCCTAGTAGTGCTGGTTGGGAGCTAAATCTCTGCAGCGTACCCGGTTGGGGAAGGCTGTCTTGTGACTTGAAAGCATCTGGGTAATGCCTGGCTAGAAATATCACAAGGAAAATGGGGAGAGCTAGGCAAGGTGGCCAAGACTTCAGTGCCCTGCCTTTCCCAAGGCTAGCAGGAACAATCAACAGTATGAGAAGCAAGCAAAAAGGGCAAAATGGGCTTAGCTAAAAAACAAAACAAAAACTTGCACATGGGTTAGAATGAAATGCAAGGGACTTTATAAATAAGGAAAGAGTTGAAATGCAAGGGACTTTAAAAAAGGAAAGAGTTGGGAACTTCTATGTTGCTGGACACTCCCCTCCCCCCGTAGCAAATAACTATTTCCATCAGTTTGGAAACTGGCAAACAAACCCACCATCAGTTCTCTGTTTACAATGCATCATCCTACCTGCCCCCTGCCTCCCAGTCACTTACTGACCAGTGCTAAGGAAATGCACCTGGGAGAGCAGGTGAAGTCTTGTGTCTTTTTTAAATGCGCAGATAGTCACAAATGGAGAAGGGCATTAGACAGGCCAGCTCTGGCAAGCTTATAGAATCGCTTTGGCCAACCTGCGGCACCTCCTGCTGCTTTAGAGCAAAACTCCCACCATCCCCAACCAGATGGGCACTGGAGTCCAAAACAGCTGGAGGGCACCAGGTGGGCAAAGCCTGTTCCAGGACTGGTGTCTGAGCAGTTGTGTTACAAAAATGAAACTCTCCAGAGACCTCACAGGCTGTCCCCTGCAGGAATTTTAAGAATGAGAGCAAGGATAAGTGATGAAAGAGCCCTTCTAAGAAGTCTCACCCATTGGGCATTCAAAGGCTTCTCCATAACTACAGTGTTTCTGCTATGGTTTTCTTCATCACATCACAACTTGCTAGCCACCTGCTCCCAAATTATTTGCTAAACCCTTGACATCTTGCCCTGCTCTCTGAGCAAGTCCGCATGTGGATCAACCCATTTATGACAAAATGTCACCCCCTGTTGGCTGATCCAAAAACAGTCCTCAAATTTACTGGCACTGAAAAAAATGAAGCCAACCTTATCTGTATGAGAACATACCGGTTGCTGGTTTGGCTACGTCTTCTTCAGCAGTATCTTCCCCATCTGCTGCTACCTCTTCTTCCTCCCCTGGCTGTGGCTCCTGCTCCTTATCTCCTTTATTCAAGTCTTTGCCAGGATCCAGCTTGTCAATAAGCTTGTTGAGGGTAGACGCCAAAGACTTGGAGGCTTGCTTTCGATCAAACTCACCTTTCAGGCCTTCTGTTTCCAACTCATCCTCCACCTGCCAGTAAACGATCCAAGAAAGGATAAGCTAAGGTCTATTTATTTATTTATTGAGAAAGAGAGAGATCCAGTTGAGTAGCAGCCTGGCTCATTTCCTGCAGTTAAGTGTACAGCAGTTGCTCCCACACTTTCCTGGGTCACTGCTCCCCTGAATCCACTCATTCCCAGTGCCCCCTCCTTACTAAAAGCAATATTCAGAACAGTGGTTTGCATGACCTACTATGGAAGGTAATAACGCAATAAAATTTGAAACAGCAACAATTAAATGCACATTTATTCAAAATGCAATCAGAACTATTTAATTAGTTAAACAAAACAAATGAACTTGATCTAGTGATACCAGGTTTTCAAAGTCTAACAGTCATTTACACCTTCAGTCCCCCCTTCGCCTGCTAGGCAACCCCCCCTGCCCCTCCAGGGGGCCGGACCACCCGCTTTGAGAACCACAGGTGTAGAGTCTGGATCTGCAAGACTCCGTTTTCAATCATATTTCTAGTCCTTGTGGTTGTAAGACTCCACCAGGGCAACCATACTGACTACACGTCTCGCTCCTGCATCATTCAGACACCACTTCCTCTGTTAGTCCCCTCCCTTCCCCACCACTGGTGCTGCCTGAAGAAAGTTCCTTCACTTTGCAGAAAGATTCCCTCTCCTTACTATTCATCATTCTTTGCCAATTTTGTGTCCCTCCCTCTCAGTTTTTTCTAAACTAAAAAACACATACAAAGTTTATAGCCCTTTTCCCCACAAAGGCAGCAAAATATGTGCAAATACAAGGTGATTAGGGACAGAGAACATCCAGGGCCCATCAATAGTTTTCTCGGGTGGGTAGTGCAGAAAGGAAATTATAGCTAGTCTCCTGCTTCCTCACCTCATCAATGATGTGACCAAACTCCTTTTCCATCTCAGATTTTACCTCCTCCTTCAACTTGGCCATTTCAGACTTAGGCAGCAGGATGTCTTCCAGTTCCTTCTCAAACTTTCCCAGCAGGTCTTCCTCATCCTTCTCATCCTCCTGGGCCCCTTCTTCAGAGTGCTCTGTCCCTAACGATGGCTCACTTTTGGGTGGAGTTTCTTGAGATGCTTCCTCTGGTTCTCTCACCATTTCTTTGTCCTGGAGGGACAAAGGCAAGGCGCAAACTGATCCAGCCGAGATGCCATCACAACATGCACATCACAAAGGCTGGACAATCCCTGTCCAGTGGCCCCAGGAAGACCTCCCAATTGTTGTTCCCTAGCAAACACCTGGACCCTGAACAAGGAAGTTCCATGTACTAGGCAGATAACAATTCCACACTGTATACCTAAAAGCAGCTCAGCAATAGCAGAGTAAATCTGGAGAGAAGCAAGCCTTCTACTACATCTTACCTTCCTGGCATTCTCCTTCAAGTCACGAATAAACTGCACCAGGTCCCCAGGATTCTTGATAACTTTGAAGTGGATTTTTCTCTTGAAATCTGCAAAGATCCGAGACAGCACATATTATTTATTTATTTATAAATAAAATAATTTATATACCACCCTCTCATAAAGTATCCAGTTAGCATACAGCAATGTCAAAACATTTTTTTTAAAGAAGCCTTTAAAAGCAACACAGTATGACAGCATCTTACATGGGGGTTTGGTTCCAAGGGTTCAGTGTATAGGCAAAAACACGTATACTCAAACCCTGGAAATGCGCCCCCCCCCCGGCAGCCTTAGCCTTCCAGTGCCAGAGCACTAAGCTGGGTTTTCCTGATGTAAAAAGTACTTTTAGCCCTCCGCCTTGCTTACCAAGCAAGGCATGCTCAGCATACTGGTTTTAGGATACTTTTGTGAAATCTCATGGGTCCATCCAAGTTCCGGTGAGATCTCATGGAGCTACCCACAAGCTTCCAGAGCCTGTGTGCTGAGAGGACCTTGGAGGTTCTTTTCGCACCAGGAAAACTTTGCATGCATTTAATTTGCACAATTTCAGCTGGCCGGCCTTCAACTGTGCAGGGTAGAAAACGCACAAGTTGGATGTGCCTAAGATGCAAGAGGAATGTACAAAACAATTAAAATGAGTCACCACTCAACAAAATTTTAAAAAACTGCATAGTCCTCTTAACTTACAAAAGAAATGCATGGAAGTGTGCTGGAAGAGTGTTCCACAGCATGGGACCAGTGACCTGGGGAAAACTATCAGCACTTCTCTGGATGATTTCAGTGATCAAGCTGGATACAAGGGTTCGGATGGTCCTTAGGGCATCCTGGACCCAACTTACTCAGGGTCTTGTATATCAACACAAGACCCTTGAACCTGGCCCAGTAGCATATGGGCAACCAGTGGAGATGTTTCAACAGAGGTGTCTCATGCTGTCAGCTGTTTGCCCCCATGTGCAGTTTGGTCGCTGCATTCTGCATCAGCCAGAGCTTCCTGACCAGGTCCGAGGGCAGCCCCACATAAAGTGAATTGTAGTAATCCAGTCTTGAGGGTAACAATGCATGGACTACAGTGGCCAATGGGTCCTAATCCAGTTATGGCCATGGCTGACAAATGGCACTCCTAGCCACAGAGGTCACTTGGGTCTCGAATGATGGACATATCCAGGAGTATGCCTAAGCTACGTACCTGCTCCTTGAGAGGGAGTGCAACCCTTCCCAGAATGGGCAACTGGCCTATCTTCTGGATACAGGAACCGCCCACCCACAAAGCCTCCATCTTCGCTGAATTCAAACTCAAGTTTATTGGCCCTTGTCCAGTCCACCACTGCCTTGAGGCTCTGTTCCAGGGCTTTCACAACCTCTGATTCAGATGGAGAACAGAGCCGCATGTCATCAGCATACAGATGGCACCGTGCTCCAAAGCTTTGTCCTGCAGAAACCTGTAGCCTAAGGGCCAGGGAGTCCAATTGCACTCCTCCCATGTTACTTTTTAGACTCAACTGTGCAGGTTGGCATGAAACCACTCTAGTGCAGTGCCTCCAATCTCCATCCCAGGAAGCTGATCAATGTTTTCAAAAGTTGCTGAGAGACTGAGTAAGAACAACAGGGTCACACTCCCTGCCCCTCTCTCTGTAACAGTCATCCATTAAAGTAACCAAGGCTGAGTCAATCCCCAAACCAGACCAAAATCCAGGCAGAAGTGGATCTAGATAAGCAGTGCCATTGCTCTCTTTCTGAACACTAAACAATGTTAAAAAGAGGAAAGGATGCCAAAGGGGGGAGGAACCAGCAGTTTCCAAAGATACAGGCCATTAAAAAAATGTCTGACTGTTAACCAGTCTTCTTGAAAGAATAGGAGAAGGAGGGTTCAGAAAGTTCTGAATTCTTTGGTTCAGGTGAACGTTCCTCAAGCATCTTTTCTGACAGTCCTAAGAGGATTGTTTTCTTGAGCCACAGCACTTATGGGCCACACACTTACCTGCTAGGTGACTGTCTGCTGTCTTCATGATTGGCTCTTCCTCCTGCAGAAAAAAGACAGAAGTTAAATGGCTTTGGGTGCTATGCATAGAAGCCACTGTTGTAGGGTTGCGAGGGAATTATTTCTGCATGATACAGACGGTTGAGTTCAGCTACTTGTTTCGCCAAAGGAATTCATTATTACCCGGACCCTGCATTCATCACTTGAGGTCCTTCTTTGTGTGCCTTGTGCATGAGAGGCCCGGAGGGTGGCAACATGAGAAGAGGCCTTTCCTGCAGTGGTTCCCCAGGAGGCTCACCTGGCGCCTTCATGGCATATCTTTACGCACCAAGAGAAATTGTTTCTCTTCAACCAGGGTTTGGCTGATTAACATTCTATGGCTTTTTAAATGTGTTTGTGGGAGGAGGGGTTATTGGTTTGTTTTTGATTTATTATGTATTTTCCCCCTCGTTTTGATGGCATGGTGCCATCAGTATTTTTATGTTGTGAACTGCTGTGGGATATTTGAATGAAGGGTGGTGCACAAATTTTATAAATATTTTTCACCCGCAGATCTCAGGCTAGTTCATAACATAAAAATGTAACAACAAAATAAATAATATAATAAAAATATAACAACAACAACAAAATAAATATAACAATATAATAAACATATAACAACACCAACATCAATGGTGCATGAGCCAAAAACGAACAGATGCATCTATCTAATACTGCAGTGGGGGGACTGTATCTGCCCAGTGGGCCAGATCACTAGCTCCCCCATCTTGCATAGGACAGTTTTGACAGGCCAATCACCTGGTGTTAAAAGGACACTAGCTGATCTTTTTGCCCGCAGGTGACAAGCAGCTAATTGGTTGGGTCTTGTGATGTCCCTTGCAAAGCTTTGTTGGAGATGTGTCACGTGAGGTGTAGGGCAGTGGACATGGCTTGGCTGAAGTGAGCTTGTGGGCCAGATGTGGAGATCTGATGGCCTGGAGGTTCCCCACCCCTGATTTAGTAGATATGGAACATATGGCTGTGCTTGGATGCAACACTAAGACATTGGCAGTGGTGAGGCAACTTACAAGAACATAGGAATCTGCCTTTGACAGTGTCAGACCAGTGTCTGGCTGTTTGACTGACTGACAGGGGCTTTCGAGGGTTCGAGAAAGGTGCCTCTCCCAACCTTATCTGGATATGTCGGGGACTGAACCTGCGTGCAAAGCAGATGCTCCACCCCTCCCATAATTATCCTATGCACAAGGTAATTCCTGTGTGTGCTTTTAAACGCACTTTGAAGATGTTTTTAGCCAGAAAGGCCTCTTACAGTTAGTTGTGTTTATGCAGGCTTAAGACAATTAGCGGAGTTTCTTTTTCATTACTTGAATTTTATTGTCTCCCTGTTATGACTGATATGTTGCTGAAGTTAGGATATAAATCTATAAAATAAAATAATTCACTGATAAGTCAAATCTTATAATTTAGGGGATACTTATAAGTGCCTCAGCAACATGCCTAAATAAAAAACAAAGAACTCCCGCACTGGTGGTGTCAGAATCAAGAAAAAGGAAAATATACCAGCTTTGCGGGTAAGAATACACACACACACACACACACACACACACACGTTAAAAGTATTTGGACAGATACTGGTTATGATCAGGTGTGATGACAGGAGGTTACCTTTGTTTGGTCTGGCATCTGGGCTGTCTTCTCATCTCCCCGCAGCGCTCTCTCCCAGAAATCAGAGTCATCACCTGGGTCACTTTCAGGAGGAGAAGCAGTTGGAACAGGCTCTGGGGTCACTGACCAAACAGGCAAAACAAAGTTTTTAAGTGGGAGCAAAGTCATTTGGGCTTACCAAGAGCATTTCTACAATTACACTCAGGATAGAGAATACTCTGCACCACACAAAAGCAGAATTCAGCACATTGAGAACGGCAGTTCCTTTTTACAGGTTTCTAGCTTCCAAAACTGCAAGAGCAGGTACTGCCCCCTAGAGGTGAAGGTCCTGTTTCACCCCGAACCTTACCCCCCACTAATGAAAAAATGGACTATAATATATTTTGTTTTACAATGATGAACAAAATGTTTAAGACAATCTGCTTATATATTTACTTTTCTAAAATGATTTCTAAGCTTGTGTAACTGGAAACCTTTTATGTAAAATTTTGTACAATATCAGATCATTACAATTCCTGAACACTGAAGCAAACCAAGTCCTAAGTTGTACACTGAGAGCACAACTCTCTAATGCAAGAAAAATATGCATTTCTGCCTCTTGTAGGGCACTGCGGTTGTCACAAGAGAACAAACGCAGGTTCAATGCCTTCTTTGCCGATAGCTTGCCCATCTGACAGAATTGCACCAATAGACATCTGAAACTGCAGTGCCCCTAAGGATGAAGGCACATTGTGTAAGGGTCCTTGCACATTATCCCAACACAAAAATCAGAGGACCAATATGTTTTTTAGCACTGAAGGCCATACAGTGGACCCTCGGGTTACATTACCTTTGGGTAACGTAACTTTCGGGTTGTGAACGTGGCAAAACCCAGAAGTGTATACTTCCGGTTTTCACCATGCACACATGCGCTCTGCGCACTTCACACATGCAAAGCGCTCTATTGCGTCGCACACATGCACAAAATCAGCGCCTCTAGATCTGGACTTTTCAGGGTACATATGGACCTCTGGAATGAATTAAGTTTGTATCCGGATGGTCCACTGTATTTACTGACTTTTTAAAATGGTGACTTGCCTCAAGCTCCATGTGATCACCCCACCCCACGGCTAGATTTCAGTAACATCCTTGCAGGACTGTCTTACCAGGTAGTTCCCTACCATTGCCATCTGAATCCTGAATGGCAGAGTTTGGGTCTTGCTCATTCCACAGTCGTGTGTCTAGAGTCTTCAGCTCTTCAGAGATCTCCTCCACTTTGCGCTTTGTGTCAGCTGCAAAAATTTACACAATATACATTTTTTTTATAAGATATTTATTAAGATTTTCAAAATATTACAAAATAAAAATAAAAATAAGAAAAATACAAAATAAAAATAAAAATAATTAAAAACAACACAATCTTTCCATTACTTATTTTTCATTAGCTTATTTCCCGGACCTCCTCACGCCTCCCTTTTTTGTATTCCAATTCAGTTTGTTGGTTCAGCAAATCCTTCCCCACTTTGTTTATCCTAATCTTTGATCTTAAAATATTGTAACATTAAATTTTTACCTATTAATAATCCATTTTTCATATTCCCTTATAATATTGCAGCTAAAAACCACTTAATTTCTATCCAACATCATTCTAACATTCATTAATTTTACAATATTTCTGTAAATAGTCTTTAAATTTCTTCCAATCTTCTTCCACCGACTCTTCTCCCTGGTCTCGGATTCTGCCAGTCATTTCCGCCAGTTCCATATAGTCAATCACCTTCATCTGCCATTCTTCCAGAGTGGGTAAATCTTGTGTCTTCCAATACTTTGCAATGAGTATTCTTGCTGCTGTTGTGGCATACATGAAAAAAGTTCTATCCTTCTTTGGCACCAATTGGCCGACTATGCCCAGGAGAAAGGCCTCTGGTTTCTTCAAGAAAGTATATTTAAATACTTTTTTCAATTCATTATAGATCATCTCCCAGAAAGCCTTAATCCTTGGGCACGTCCACCAAAGGTGAAAGAATGTACCTTCAGTTTCTTTACATTTCCAACATTTATTATCGGGCAAATGATAGATTTTTGCAAGCTTGACTGGGGTCATGTACCACCTGTATACCATTTTCATAATATTCTCTCTTAAGGCATTACATGCCGTAAACTTCATACCTGTGGTCCATAACTGTTCCCAGTCAGCCATCATTATATTATGTCCAACGTCTTGTGCCCATTTAATCATAGCAGATTTCACCGTTTCATCCTGAGTATTCCATTTCAACAGCAAGTTATACATCTTTGACAAAATCTTAGTTTTGGGTTCTAACAGTTCTGTTTCTAATTTTGATTTTTCCACCTGGAAGCCAATTTTCTTATCCGAATTATATGCCTCCATTATCTGATAATAATGAAGCCAATCTCGCACTTTGTTTTTTAGTTTCTCAAAACTCTGCAATTTCAGTCTATCTATTTACACAATATACATTAGATGGGCAAACACGCCCCCCAGTATGTCCAGGTAAGAAACAGGTCATCATCACAGCATCCAATGCAACAAGACAATATTCCCCCAAGCAAACAGGATTCCTTGGCAGTCAGCACTCAGATACTACCCAGTTTGCTCTCCCTGTGCTATGCGGCTCTTCTGGCATTCGGAGGGCAAAGTGGGCACCAGAAATAGGAATCCTGAAATCCTGTGCCAAGAAATCTGGCATTCTGCCACCAAGTGCCCACATTACACAGGTGAAAATACCTGCATACTTTGTTTTGTGTTGGGAGGTGTAGTGTTCAAAATACAAAATGAGATAAAGTCATCTAGCGCTTTTCAGGCTAAGTGGAATTTGAATCCATGCCAGCACAGTCTTCACTACACCACACTGTTCCCCCATGCCTATTCTCTCAGCAACAGAGAAGGCAGATGAGGAAAGGGCATCCCTTACCACCAACTCTTTATTCTGTTTCTGCTTTGAGGCCGTACTTTACACACCATTCAATCTCCCTGAAAGGAGGGGCTTACGCTTCAAATGCACTTAAGATACTTCTGTCACACTGCTGTATCCTGCCTTGCAAGGGCTAAGTTCTAAAAATGCCACCAGATCAAAGCGAATAGCCCTGGCCAAGAGGGCACCGAAGGGGCCTCCACCTCCTCCCTGACCAGTTGTACTACTTACACACTTGGGCCTTGACATATTCCACATATTCTGCAGGGCTCAGGGCTGGGTGACAGCGGATGGTCTGAGGGGTTGCAGTGGACGGTGGCCGCAGAAATGGGTGGTGGCAGATGCGGGTGGTGTGGATGGTCAGCACGTAGGAGCAGGACTGGGGCTCGTCCACACGGGCAATGTAGTCACCTGAACCTTCCTCACACAGAAACTGCGATTTAGATATAGAAAAATATAGAAAGCTGTTTTATACTGACTCAGATCATAGGGTCCATCTAGCCTAGCACTTTGTGTTCTATTCCTCTGGCAACCAGCAGCTCTGCAAGACCTCAGGCACCAAACTTTCCTTGCCCTGCTCCTGGAGAGCCTTTAAAGATGGATATGACCAAGATTTTGCCTGGGAGTCCTGCACCCACTGCACATGCTCCACCCACCGAGCTAGGGCCCTTACCCCCAAGATTGCTTTCCATGAGTTGCCGGGAGTGGGGACAGAAGAGAGGCTAATCTCGTTTTGAAAGGCGCATACATGGAATCCAGGTCTCTCTTCCAGGACAAAGGGGGAAGGTCACATTGGTTAAAGAGAGCATGGGGACTCCCGAGTCCCTCCAGATGTGGTTGGACTCCCATCAGCTGCAGTTAGCATAGCCAATGGTCAGGAGTGATGGGAGTTGCATCTAGCAAGATCTGTAGCAGCACAGGTCCCACATCCCTGGGTTGAAGGGTCAGCCCAAGTTCAAACAGCAGCAGGGTAAATTTATGAGACAATGTCCCTCCCTTTCCTTCTATTTCACAATGTGCACTTCCTAACACTTCCTTGGTGGCTACATAAAAGCCTAATCTTTATTTATTGATTATATATATATTTGATACCTCTTATGATTACAAATAAATCTCAAAGCAGTTTACCAAGATAGAAAGAAAACATGCAATAAAATTATTCCAATAAAAAAGTACATTGTGGATTATCACCTATGGTGTAGGGCAGAAGGATCCAGTGCTAATTGTCAGGGAAAGCCTGAGCAAGCAGGTGAGTTTTCTATACATGTCAGAAAAACCCTGGCCCTGAATTGGTCAGAGTTTTATATGTTAACAACAACACCTTAAAAGGTGGCTTGGCAGCCAATGATCAGGCATTTGCAAGAGGAAAAATGGGGAACAAACTAACATGCATGACCACACAAGCAGGAAGCTCTTTATAGCTCTCTCCTCTGCATGAAACACAGGAGGAGAACCCATATTCCAAGCATTCCTAGGTCCAACTTCCAACTCTCAGCTCAGCATCTCTCAAGTCAAATATAGACCAGGGACTCTGTGGCCCTCCAACTCTCATCAGCCCCAGCCAGCATTGTCAATGGCCAGGAATTATGGCAGCTGTAGTCTAGCAGCATCTGGTGGGATACATGGAAATTGTCTGTTCCTGCCCATCACACAGCTCTGGCTACCTGAATGGAGACTTTCACTTGTGCATGAAGGGTTCTAAAGGACAAGAGAGCCATACTTCCTTTCCTCTCAGCTGCTGACTCAGGAAACTTCCGCACAGTGCAACCAAGTTCCTTTCCTTACCCTGACTTCAGCCTCCCGGGGCTTCCCGTTCAAGTTGCACTTGGATCCGTTGACATAGGTCTGGCTGTGGTAACGCTTCAGCTTGTGCTGCTTGGAAGCCTGTGATGCGGGGAGAGAGAACCAGAAAACACTCAAGGCCTTTTGGGGGGGATGTTTCATTGCTGCAAGCCCCTATTGAGCAGAAGCTGAAGGTAATCTGCTTTGAGCTGGGCCTAGATTCAGGGACAGCTGCAGACTGTCCTTAGCATACCCTCCCCCAAGCTGGTGCTCTCCAAATATTGTTGTACTGCAACTCTCATCATCCCTTATCATGGGACAGGAAGGCTCCTGAAGCAGGGGCTTAATTTGCTTTGGAATATGACTCCAAGAACTGCCTTACTCTGCTTTTTTAAACTCCTTGTGCATAGCAAGGAGGGACCTCCAGACCTCTTCTCTACTTTCCCTGCATCCGTTCCTTTTCTTCCCCCTGCCTCCCCGCCTCCCTCACTGGCAGCATGGTTGCCACAATCATCCCTGAATAGTTTCAAGGTGGTAGCGGCAGCAGTGGCATCTGTCCCTATTTTCCATTGGAGAAGCCTTCCCCAAACTGGAGCCCTTCCGGAGATTCCTGGACTCCAGCACACTATCAGCCCCAGCCAGCACAAAGCAACCTACAAGCAAAATAAACCCACTGCACATACATGCATTAAAACCAAGGGGAAAAAGATACATTAAAAACTTCCCCACCTCTTCTAAAAGGCAAAAACAAAAAGTTAACAACCAAAGGCCTGGTTAAAGAGATATGCTTTTGCTTGTGCCTGAAGTGACCCAAAGTGACTTACAAATAGGGAGTTTTCATTGCCATTCCCCTCTACTGATGTCAAGAGTGTTTTATCTCAAGGTACACCAAATCTAAGAGCTTCAGGCTGGGGGAAGGGGGAGGAAAGGTCTATTAAGGAAAGCAAGTGAAACATCAGATGTGATTTATGTTCAGCAGTTAGGAGGTTGGAGAGCTACCTAAGCCTTAGGGATGCTCACTCAACTTTTTCTCCATTGCATGAAGTGATCAAGGGCCTAGGGAACACCCACCTTGGCAGTTTCGTTGTCCCAGTCGAATGCGGACTGGTAGTACCCCAGGTACAGAATGTCACCTTTGATTTCAGACTCTGGGGGTGGGGGAAGACACAGGGAAAGATGAAAAGTGTCACTTTGTTAACTGGAAGCTTGGACCTCAGGAGAGAGTGATGATGATGATGATGATGATGATGATGATGATGATAACAACATCTTAGCATGAACCAGAGGCTGAGAAAAGACCTGCTTCAGTTGTGCCGCCACAGTGTAAATTCAAGCTGTGAATCTGGCTACACTGACGACCACACACAAAAGACACCCTTTCACTAAAAACAAAATGTTAAATATTCTGGTCTGAGCTAATCACGCCACTAGTTTCCTGACACATATGTTTCGTTTGCATAAAATCTGTGATTATAGATTAGGGGCTATCCCAGCTAAGAAACAGAAGGGATTAGTACGAAGTAAAGTTTCAAATCTGCATATTGATGCAAAAAGGGAGAGCACACCAGACTGGAGAACCCCCACTTCCTTTTGAGAACACAGCCATGCACCTATCAGTTCAAAGTAGCTGGACAGCCATTCCTGGTTTGCTGACATGAACTGCTTCAGTCATCAGCCTTTGACAGTGTTGGAAGACCCCCACCCTGGCCAAACTCTACAATATGGGGAGACTATGGACCTCTCGTTATAAGACTACTGTAAGAATTAACCATGTATACAGACCTAAGGTTAAGGTTTATTAAAAGGGTGGCACTACACTCACGACACAATTCTGGGGACTGTGGTTGCTCCTTTTCCACTGCAGATCAGCAAAGTGGGAGGCACTTTGCAGCAAGCAAGTGACAAGTGATGGAGCAGCAGAGGCTCTCAGATACTGCTGGAGTCCAACTCCCACCAGCCCTGGTCAGCAGTCATGGGAGTTGTGGTCCAGAGGCACCTGAAGAGCCAAAGGCTCCCCATCCCTGGCTTAACTGTTCACTGATTATTTATTTCTACTCCACCTTTCATGCCAAAGACCTGTCAGGTTGACTAATATTAAAAGGGGAAAAATGAGCATTGTATCCAGAGAAAGTTGAGTGGAACTCTTTTGAATAATAAGACTTCCTTGGCTTTCTTTTCTACCACAACTCCATTTCACCTCCCAGAAGCCATTTCTGAGACTGGGCCCTCTGGAACAGTGGGTTATTGCAGCAACCCTCCTGCTCCACCAAAGGAAATTGTGCCAATGCATATTGCGGTTGAGAAGCAGGCAAGCATGACTCCCAGACCTGTCTTTGCCACCACCAGCCCACTTCTGTTCTGACTGAATCATATACTCTTCACTGTTGTGGCATCCGGGGTGGGGAGGTTTAAACCTTCCATTACAGTGGAGATGAAAAAAACCCAGCCCGGTTGGGTAAAGCGAGCAAACATGGTCTGGGGGGTGTGGGGCTTGCAGAAGGCTGGATAGGAGGGTCTGGCGGGTCAGAGGCTACAAATACCTACTTTGATGGGAGAAACCAACAAAAGAGAAGAGAGTACCTTCCATGTGGTATTGCTGGATGTGCTTCCCGTAGCAGAACTCGTACGTCCACCAGTCCTTGGTCTGAGAGAAAAGGGAGAAGTTAAAGCCTAGGTGATTTGGCTGAAGCAAAAAATCTTGTTATAAGAGCCCCATTGCATTGTAATTCTCTTGAACTATTACACCCAAATTAGGCAATGACTAATCATACAAATGAGTGGAGTGGACATGGAAGCGTTGAGTTTCACTGAAGTTTTGGTTATAAAAGTGGGCAATGCTCAAGGACTCAGGAGTGGAGAGGGGGGAGGGGGAGAAAGAGAAGAAGAATCTCAATGGAGTTTTAATAAGGCTGCAAGATTCAAGTTAGCATTTTAGCTGAGTACCGGCTTCGGTTCCTTAAAGGAGGCAGTCCCCATGACAGCAAGAGATTGTTGACAAAGGAAAAACAAGGATGATTGAGGGTAATCATCCTTGCAAATTTCCCCAGGGACAGGGGGAACAGACTTCACTTGCAGTTCGTTAACAGAGAGCCCAGGGGTGGCTTCCCTGCTTCTCTTCTTGCATCTGGTCTCCCAACATTTAATCCCAACTCTTAGCCCAAAGTTACCTTGGTAAGGCAAGGAGCCACTTCCATGGGCTTCAGCAGTTCTGAGATTCCAAGTCCACTGTAACTCCGTGGGTGTTCCTCTTTTTCCTGGTGGATCTTCACTGCGGCAGCAGGTAGCCGGCACTCATACATCTGCTTGTATTTGGATGAGATACTCACCACATCAGATGACTTGCTCTGGGAAGATATAAGCAAAGGAGCTGGGTGAGAAGAGATAAATTAGCGGCAGGCAGCAGCCTGACTTCTCCAAAAGGACAAGGGAAGCAGGAGCCCAGGAGATACAAACAGCAAGAACAGGACTAAGGTTTGCCTTATGGAGAACCAGTCTCCAGACACTTTAAAGTGGTTCTTTGGATCCACCATGTGAGCCTGCTATCTTAGTCAACAAGGCTTCCAGCCACTGGAAACACCACACGGGACAATGGCTTAAGCATGAAAGAGTTTTTTATTTAGCAATTTATTTTTAGGGAAAAAGGCAAAAGTCAGACTTTGCTGTGATGTAACATCTTCCCTCTTAGGGGAGAGTCAGAGCCAGTAGGAAGCACACATTTTGGCTGGCTACTAAACCCAACCTTGCAGACTACTGATTATTATATTGATAATATCACCACAGGGGAAAAGTTCCATTTGGTCTTCCCTTATTCCTGGTACCAAGATATCTTGCTTGGGTATATTTACAAATGCAGCTGTCTTGCTTTCAAATAAACCTGCGCAGAATTGAGCCTGTAACCCGTTTCACCACCAGTCCAGTCACTCTAGGCAGAGCGCTGTATATACTCCACATTTATATATACATAATACACGCACCCCCCCTCAAGGTAACCCAAATTCTGCCCACTATATTATATGCAAGTCAAGCAATTTGCATCTATGTACATGTAAGTTAAGGGATGCGGGTGGCACTGTGGGTTAAACCACAGAGCCTAGGACTTGCCGATCAGAAGGTTGGCGGTTCAAATCCTTGTGACGGGGTGAGATCCTGTTGCTCAGTCCCTGCTCCTGCCAACCTAGCAGTTCGAAAGCACGTCAAAGTGCAAGTAGATAAATAGGTACCACTCCGGCGGGAAGGTAAACGGCGTTTCCGTGCGCTGCTCTGGTTCACCAGAAGCGGCTTAGTCATGCTGGCCACATGACCCAGAAGCTGTACGCTGGCTTCCTCGGCCAATAAAGCGAGATGAGCGCCGCAACCCCAGAGTCGGCCACGACTGGACCTAATGGTCAGGGGTCCCTTTACCTTTACCTTACATCTAAGTTACAGGGAGGATCAAGGGAGTATATAGGGCAATGAACCCGCTATCAACTGCTTGGCCCCTTCCCAGCTTCAGGAATTATGCTAGGCATTGCCTAAAGTTTCCTGCTGATCTTTATATTACTACTGAAGCCTCTACTACAACTATATCCCACCTTTCCTCCTTCCTTTTTATCCTTCCAACAACCCTGTGAGGTAGGTTAAAGCTAAGAGGCACTGACTTGCCCAAAGTAACCCAGTGAGCTTCATGGCTGAGTGCGGATTTGAACCCTGGCCTCCTGGGACCTAGTCCAACACTCAATAATTAATACAACACAGCCGCTCTAGCCAGGGGGGTGAGGAAAACTCTTGCCCACAGGCTTCATTGGGCCCAGCAGATGCTCTAACACCACCCACAAGTACCTTCTACTCATGCCCACCCCGATGTGACAACAGCACAGTTGTTCACACAAGGACCAGTAGTTTCTGTGTATGGAAGACGTTCCAGACACCTTGTATTGAAGACCTTGTGTGTATGGAAGACCTTTATGTTCCTCTCAAATGTAAATATGATCTGAGTAATACACATTTACATAGCAATAACAGCACGTACAGTGGTACCTCGCGTTAAGAACTTAATTTGTTCCGGAGGTCCGTTCTTAACCTGAAACTGTTCTTAACCTGAAGCACCACTTTAGCTAATGGGGCCTCCTGCTGCCGCCGCGCCACCAAAGCACGATTTCTGTTTTCATCCTGAAGCAAAGTTCTTAACCCAAGGTACTATTTCTGGGTTAGTGAAGTCTGTAACCTGAAGCATCTGTAACCTGAGGTACCACTGTATTCATATTAGCAAACAATTATTCACCAGTGTGTCCCTCAACAGTCAAACATACAATCAGCAATGATTACACTACAAAGGGCGGCACCAAGGCAAGGTCACCGTGAGCTCAGCTCCAACTGGCCAGCCAACTGCAACCAAGCCCTCCAGAACATTCGCAGATGTACAAAGTACAAGCCAGATTTAGACTGTTGACAGAAAGGGGCTCCTCTTTTTTTGCCTGACAAACAACTTGGCAGAAAGTCAAAACCCTCTCACTCATACAAATCACTCCCTTTTGAAAACTGATGGAGAGTCAGGCTCTGTTTTTGCAGTCACATAGGGGCAGAAAAGCATCAGCCACAAAGAACAGCAGTGCAGTATAACAGGGGTAACTTGTTCCTAACTGGAAGAGCACTGTTACTACATTTGTGTTTCTGGGCATTTCTGACGGATCCAGACCAAAATGTATTTTCCAAAAGCTGAGCTCAGTTTTGGGATGAATTAAATGATGCTCACAGTGGTGAGTACCACACTCGTTTTTCCTTTGCAGAGCCACAGTTTTCAGAGTGGTTTAGCAATCAATCGCTCTTCACAGGGAACTCTGGGAATTGTAGGTCTTATGAGGGGAATGGGGGTCTCCTAACAACTCTCAACACCCTTAACAAACTACAGCAACTGCAATTCTTTGGGGGAAGCTGTGAATGTTTAAAGTGGCAGCATAGCACTTTAAATGTATGGTGAATGTGGCCTAAATCAAGGATCATGATTTGTTGCACCAGATACTAAAGGAACAAAGTGGGAGCTAACTCCATGTTCACAGTAACTATTGATTACTGTGATGTATCAACATGGTCCATTCAATATTGCTCTTTTACTCCCCAATATAAACCAGCACCTCAAACCGCCCACATATTTGTTGTGATTTAGAGCTCTCTTAGGCTGCAGGTGACGCTGTGGTCTAAACCACTAAGCCTAGGGCTTGCCAATCAGAAGGTCGGTGGTTCGAATCCCCACAACAGGGTGAGCTTCTGTTGATCAGTCCCAGCTCCTGCCCACCTAGCAGTTCAAAAGCACATCAAAGTGAAAGTAGATAAATAGGTACCGCTCCAGTGCGAAGGTAAACAACATTTCCGTGCGCTGCTCAGAAGCTGGCCACAGGACCCAGAAGCTGTCCGCGGACAAATGCCGGCTCCCTCGGCCTACAGAGGGAGATGAGCGCGCAGTGTCGTCCGCGACTGGACCTAACGCTCAGGGGTACCTTTATCTTTAGGTTGCAGTCCTATCCTACGTATCCGGGGGCAAGTCCAGCTGAACTCAGTTGGGCATATTTCTGAGCAGAAATGTATAGGATTGCTTTGTTGGACAGTTCTTGTGCTGTGGCAGCAATCTACATCTACAAAAAAGCTGGAAAAGTAGCCTCTCAATGTGCCACTGAAATCAAGCTCACTCTATGATGGATTTCAAAATGACATATTTCAAAATGACAGAGTGCTAGAGGCCTGACTAGTAAAGTTGCATGGGTTCAATTCTAATCTGTTACCTCTGAGGATGTGGACAGGCTGCTTGGACGAGTGAAACCAACCACCTGTCTCCTTGATTCTTGCCCATCCTGGCTTATAAAAGCTAGCCGGGAATGGCTGGGCAATGGGCTTCGCGGGGTGGTGAATGTTTCTCTCTGTGAGGGAGCCTTCCCAGACCCGCTGAAAGAGGCGGTTATCAAACCGCTTCTTAGAAAACCATCTTCAGATGCGGCCAATATGTCCAACTATCGCCCAGACTAAAATATTCCATTATTGGGCAAGGTGACTGAGCGAGTGGTTGCTGAACAACTCCAGACATGCCTGGAAAAAGCGGACCATTTGGATCCCTTCCAGTCGAGATTCAGGCCTCATCATGGGACTGAAACTGCCTTGGTTGCACTGGTCGATGATCTCCAGTGGGCTAGGGACAAAGATGAGAGCTGTTTCCTAGTTCTGCTGGATCTCTCAGCGGCTTTTGACACCATTGACCATAACATCCTTCTGGACCGTCTAGAGGGGCTGGGAGCTGGGGGCACTGTTATACAGTGGTTCCACTCTTTCCTCCTGGGCCATGTTCAGAAAGTGGTGTGGGGGATGAGTGTTCAGACCCCTGGGCTCTCACTTGTGGGGCACCTCAGGGTTCTGTCCTCTCCCCCATGCTTTTCAACATCTACATGCAGCTGCTGGGAGAGATCATCAGGGGCTTTGCGCTGGATGTTCATCAGTATGCGGATGACACCCAGCTCTACCTCCCTTTCAAATCGGAACCAGTGAAGGCGGTGAAGGTCCTGTGTGAGTGTCTGGAGGTGGTTGGAGGCTAACAAATTGAGGTTGAATCCTGACAAGACAGAAGTACTGTTTTTGGGGGACAGGAGGCGGGTGGGTGTGGAGGACTCCCTGGTCCTGAATGGGGTAACTGTGCCCCTGAAGGACCAGGTGCGCAGCCTGGGAGTCATTCTGGACTCACAGCTGTCCATGGAGGCGCAAGTCAATTCTGTGTCCAGGGCAGCTGTTTATCAGCTCCATCTGGTACGCAGGCTGAGACCCTACCTGCCCGCGGACTGTCTCGCCAGAGTGGTGCATGCTCTAGTTATCTTTCACTTGGACTTCTGCAATGCGCTCTATGTGGGGCTACCTTTGAAGGTGACCCGGAAACTACAACTAATCCAGAATGCGGCAGCTAGACTGGTGACTGGCCTTGGTCCAGTATACCTGAAGAAGCCTCTTCACCCCCAACGTTCTGTCTGGACACTGAGGTCCAGTGCTGAGGGCCTTCTGGCACTTCTCTTCCTGCAAGAAGCCAAGTTACAGGGAACCAAGCAGAGGGCCTTCTCGGTAGTGGCACCCGCCCTGTGGAACGCCCTCCCACCAGATGTCAAAGAGAAAAACTACCACCAGACTTTTAGAAGACATCTGAAGGTAGCCCTGTTTAGGGAAGCTTTTAATGTTTAATAGATTATTGTATTTTAATATTCTGTTGGAAGCCGCCCAGAGTGGCTGGGGAAACCCAGCCAGATGGGTGGGGTATAAATAAATTATTATTATGAATATGATGATTATTATTATTATTTATATGGATGTTAAAATGTGATGTTGGAATTTCATTTTAAGACACCACTCAATAGCTGCAGAATCCCTGCACAATTTTAGAGCACACTAGAATGCATTGTTGTAAGGAGATGCCAGCCAGACCTACCACCACAGATACGGCAAGTAATACTGTGGCCACCTGAGAAGAGAAGACTCCCTGAAAAAGACCCTGATGTTGGGAAAGATTGAGGGCATAAGGAGAAGGGGACGACAGAGGACAAGATGGTTAGACAGTGTTCTTGCAGCTACCAGCATGAGTCTGACCAAACTGCGGGAGGCAGTGGAAGACAGGAGTGCCTGGTGTGCTCTGGTCCATGGGGTCACGGAGAGTTGGACACAACTAAACAACAACAACAAAAAACCAAAACTTCCCCAAGCACATTGCAAAGGAAGATTTGTCATGGCACACAGTATGTCTTTGGGGTAGCTTACTTAGCCTTATTGTTATTTTCATCAGGAAGCACCAGTAGATTGAGCACAGTTTAAGGTTTTCAAACGGCTTAGGACCACAATACTTCACTGACCGCCTCTTTCCATATGAACCTAGCCTAAGAGCGATCATCTTCTGAGGCTCTCCTTCATGAGTCTCCTCAAGAGGTCTGGAGGGTGGCAACATGAGAATGGGCCTTTTCTGCAGTGGCTCCTCGTATGTGGAATGCTTTCCCCAGGGAGGCTGACCTGGTACCTTCATTATACACCGTTATGTGCCAGGCAAAAATGTTCCTTTTTAACCAGACCTTTGGCTGATTTGATTGACCTCCTATACCCTTTTAAAATCTGGTGGTGGTGGGGTTATTGAGTTTTTATTTTGATTATGTATTTTGTGGTTTTATATTCTGATTTTACTTTGTGAATTGCCCTGAGGCATGCAGGTATAGGGCAGTATATTAATATTAATGTAAATAAATAAATAAATAAATAAATAAATAAATAATACCGGTGCACAGCATAATGGTTCCTGTTGCTAGGACCTAAGGCTGTGTCAGGTAATTAATCTGGAACTGATAAGGCAAGGACCAGTTCAGAATGAACTTGCATGGAAGTGAAACTTAAAAAGCAGCTGTGCAGGCTTTAGCAACATGGAGACACTCCTGCAAATGAATCCAACTAAAATTACTAGTCCACAAATAATTTTACTAGCTTATCAGCCCACATATGCCATTGCCCCTGAAGTAAAAAACAAAGCAAAAACAGATTTATAAGACTTCCCTGCCTGACCATCTGGAAGGGTCCCTTAGGCTGCAGTCTGATGAATACCGACTTGAGTGTAAGCCAGCCTTGTAAATTAAGCCCAGAAAAGTTACTAGCCTGCAAAAAGAAAGAGCAAGCCTGTTAGAGGCTGGCAGGAGACAGAGCTCTGCCCCTCCTCCTGTAGCCCACTACATTTTGATGCAAGGCACAGGGGGACCAAATGCTGTGTCCCTCTTCTGCCACTCCAGTGTAGGATTCCTTTTGACCTATAGCTCACAGGCAAGTGCTTAAACACAAGGCTGGGGTAAGACCCATTGAATCAGAGGGCTGCATCCACTGCCCTACTGGCTGTGGTTGATGGGAGTTGGAGTCCAACAACATCTGGGGGTCATTGGTTGGGGGAAAGTTGGCATATAGGACTGCACTGCCATTTGCCATAGCAAGTGGCTATTTACAAGATGCATTGTTTTGTTACCCATGTAATATTACTTTTGCTGTAACTGTAATGTTCAACTTATGCTTTAGTTTATGTTTTAGTTGCTGCTTTGTTAATAGTGTTTTATAGACTGCAATTGTTTTACTGATTATTTATTTATTTTATATGATTTATGCTGTACTTGTGATACTACTATGTTCTATTATGTTGTTAATTATTGTGTGTAAGCCACTTTGGCATTCAGTGGAATGAAAAGCGGCATATAAATACAATCAATCAATCAATCAGTCAATTCTATGCCAGCCTGGAAGGCACCATTTAATGCTAAGCACTCCCCACTGCTTGGAACGGCTCTGGTGCAAGTCACTCTGGTGCCAGACGTTGCATTTCCTTTTATGATACAGCCCTTGCAGTATCCCAAGCTCCATCACTTGCAAGGGAACAACACACAGGAAAACCAGATGGTTAAGCTGTCAATGCCTTCAGGGAGCAGCTACTTTCTATTAGGAAGGCTCTTTTTCTTCTGGAGAAGGGATGCAGTTCTACAACAGATACATTCTTATAAGAGTCAAAACACCACTAAAGCAAAAGGAGGTACACCCACACTTGTGCTAATGAAAAATGACTTCTTATGTAAAACAGAATATATTAGCCAGATTTTTTTTTTAACTATATGAGACATCAGTATCAAAAATCCAAATACTGCAGAATCACAGAGGGGAGGTTGTTCACTGAGAGGGTGTGGAATGAACACACTGTGTAAATTACAGTCTATTGTTTATGTTGCAAGCTTCAAACTCCAGTAGTCAGAGACACGGTTGGGCAGCTGACATCTTGGTGCTGCAGGAAGCACTGCTTTCAGAACAGTAGACATGCAATTAAGAGTGCACCTGAGCGGCATAAATAGTTTTCAGGATGTACACATAATTGATTACTAACTAAGATACTGGTGCAGAGCAGCTTTCTCCAACCTGGTACCTGCCAGATGCTTTGGATTACAACTCCCATCAGCCACAGCATGCAAAGACAATGGTATGGGATGATGGGTGCTGTAGTCCAAAGCCCCTGGAGGGCACCAAGCAGGGGAAGGTGAGGGCAGAAGATGCCCATAGCTGGGTACTGCCACTTCAAGACTACAAATTTTCTACCAAGACCTGTCCTATTAACTGAAGCAGCAAGTTTCCCTTAAAACAAAGGCTACTGCTGTCCTATAAATATTGCCTATAAATATATCTCAGGAAAATCATCTGCATCACACTTTGAGAAACTCAGGTCCTGCTCAGTTCTGCCACCCTGAAAAAGACCAGACCCTCCATGGGTCTGTTGCCTCCCCTTCCCTAAGACGACAGGAAACAAAGAAGAAAGAAGAGAGAGGGAGAGGGAGAGAGAAAGAAGAGCCATTTGGCTCTGCAAGGTTTAAGTCAGTCCTCTGTAAAAACCACAAAGGAGATCAAGGACAATAGCACTCAAGCCACTTAAAATAAGTCTTCAAATTCAAATTCCTCAGGGTCAACTACAACACAGATGATGCAAGACTCAGGTGTGATGATGCAAGCCTTGCTAGAGTAGTAAACATACACTGATGCCACTGTTCCTGAAAAGGGCAAGGGTGCAAGCAGCTGTAGAAAGCAGAGCAGCAGTCAAGGAACCTGAACAGGATGATTAGGGTTTGAGTGCCCACTGCTATTATGTGTCCACAGTCAAACATCATCAAATATACCATGAAGCCAAGAATGTCCTATCTAAAGGGCAAGGCAAGTGTGTGAGCTTTTTACAGATCCTACATGCATTTTGGGAGGGGTGGGCTACAGACACATAGGGAAAGTGCATCACCTCCTTTAAACTACAGTCAGAACTACATTTAAAAATCAACTCCCCTTTATTTATGACAACTACTGTACTAGGCAGAGTAATCCAAACCCCAATCCACCATGTTGTATGGAGAGGGAGGGAGCACTCAATATGCCCCCCCAAAATGGCAGACAGAAGCTGCCACTGGTGGTAGCCAGCAGGAAACCCCAAATTATGGTGCTTTGGACTGGGCTGGCACAAAATTGGCTGGATTCTGTGCTAATTCTGCTACTGTCATAAGATGGCAATAGGCCTGATCTGTGTCTGTTCACTGCACCAGCCTGGGGCTTGACACAGCAAAGAGGTATTTCCCCCTGCCTCTGTTGCCCACACCTTCCACCATGAGCAGCAGATCAGCAGAAGCAGCCATGGCTACACTATGCCACAAAGTCCAGCCACTCCTTACATTTTTTTAAAAAGTTTTCAATTTGAGTTATCCATGGGTTAGCCAGGATAGGCACTCAGCCTCTTGAACACCATTATGTTAAGTGTACATAAAATAAATAAAATAAAATAAAATAGTAGACGACTACAAGTATGTAGTATTTAATTTAGTTGTTACATGATTGTAATTAGCCCAAGGTGATTTCTTGGGAGCTGCTGTAACTGTCTAAGTTGGCTTCTCAGTCCTGTATTACATGATTGGTGAAATGGTCAATTTTTCTGAAGTAATTAAATGTTTATTACATGAATATTATTCCTGCCCTTTATGGCATACCTTGGCCACTTCTTGAAGGGTGAGATACTGTTCCTCTAAATAGGAATGGAGAAACCTGTGGCCTGACTGACACTGAAGGATTCCAACTCCCATCATTCCCAGCGAGTATATCCAATAGTCAGGGATGATGGAAGCTGTAGTCCAAGAATTTCTCGGAAGACCACAGTTTCTCTATCCTGGTCTCCCAAGGGAAGCTCACCTACCACCATAATTACATGTCTTTAGGCACCAGTCAAAAACATTCCTTTTTACCCAGGTGTTCATCCATTAAAAAATCTATGGCCTGTTAAATGTGGGGGAGACGTTACTATGGTTTTTTATTATTTTGCTGTGTATACTGTTTTATTATTCTGCATAAAAAATGTTATTAATGTTGTACACCACCCAGGGATCTTTGGATAAAGTGTGGTATATAAACTGAATACATAATGATTTAAAATAATATCTTGCTACACTTTAATGGGACAGAGGACCCCTACCTGTTGTTTATTGCAGACAGATTTGTTTTATTTATTCATACAACCTGGCTCTTCATTGCAAATAACCCCCAAAGCGAGGGTACAATACTTATAAAAAGCAGCAAAAAAACCCCCCCACAATGAACCCATCAACAAACAAGAGATCCAACAGGACCTGGTCGGGGGCGGCTCTCATGGGGGGGGGGTCGCCCTGGGAAGCCTCTTGCTGCGAGCAGAGCCAGCGCAGCGCCTCGCGGCCCCTCAGAAGCCTGGCACGAGTTGATGAAGGGGCGAGAGCCGTATGGCGGCGGCCGCGGGCCCGCGGAACCTTCTGCCACAGTAATGACGAGGACGACGACAACAACAACCAGGAGCGCAGGTCTTTCCCGAGGCGCCGCCAGGCTCCTTTTGCCGCTTCTGCTGGACTCTCCGGCGCTTCCCTGCCCACCACCATCGCCTCAGCTCGGCCCAGCCAGCCATACCTGCCCGGCCATCACGGGCTCGGCGCCGATTTCAATGCCGTACTTCAGCTCGCTGAGCTCGTGCAGGTTGAGCGCGCCCAGCGCCTCGCTGCGCCCCAGCGCCAGAGCCCCGGCCAGGAGGAGGAGGAGGAGCAGCCGAGGCACCCAGGACCCCGAGAGGCGTCGCGCCGGCGCCATCTTCCTCGCGCGGCTCCCTCCGGCTTCTCGCCTTTACTGGCGGCCGCCGCGGAGGCTACTTCCGCCCTTCCTCTACGGGAGGAGGCGGGTCCGATGACCATTATTGCGCGGGAGCCTTTCCATTGGCTGCCGGGAAGGGCGGGGGAGTGAAGCGTTCGTCGAAGAAACCTGGTAAAAGGGGATTGGGTCGCTCCCGTCAGCCAATCAGGAGAGCGAGCGCCCGTATCGGGCTGCGGCTAAACGAGGAAGAAGCGCGTCGCGGGACGCTCAGCTCGGCGCTCGGCCGCCAATCAGAACAGCGAGCGCCTGCAGGACTCGAGGGAGCGCTTGACGGCGCGCGCCAGCCGCTTGCAGATGCGCGGCTTCGTGTTGTGTTGTGTTTTTAAAATCTAGATAATTTAATCCAGATTATTTCGCCACCCCTGTTACTGCTGTGTGGAAGCACGGTGATCTTGAATACTGCATAATGCATTTAAAGTATAATGGGGGAATATTATTTTAGCACTTACTTTAGCTTTCCTGAATGTTAGCACCAAAGCATAGTGAAAACATGTCAAGGAGTAATTAATTCACATTCAGTGACTCTGGACAAGAGCTATGGAAGGGATTCGGTGAGCCGATGCCCTACCTGAAGCTGGAGCACGCAGGCTGCATGACCCGTTTTAATTCACTTGGAATGGCTGTTGTCTCCCGGGCCCCAGGATTTGTCCTTTTCTAAAATGGTGTTCTATTGTTGCTATTAAGAATAACCTTCCTATTAATAATGTCTCATTAATTCAATTAGTAGTTGTCATTATTATTATTAATTAGATTTATATAACAGCCCACAAACATACATTCATTGGGTGGGTTACAACAAAATATTAAAAACAGAATCTGTAGTCCTATAGCAGTCGCACAATCAGGCAAAAGACATTCCACAGCTTTCAGTGATTCCTAGGGTGCTTCCTGATGTGTGTTTGTTGCAGAATCCTGGCAGTCTGTGCTTTATGAAAAATCATACACATTTCCTTTTAAACATTGACATTTTTGCTAGGATAGCTTTGCAGTTGCTAGGATAATTCTTGGCTTGGCCAAACTCCTTATCTCAGATATTTCTGTAGGTATTTTATAATGATGATGATGATTGTCCTCACTTTCTGGTGGGTCATGACTCATGAGAAACATGAGTGCCCTTGGCTTCCATCTTCTGCTTGCTTGACTCCTGCTGTAACTGTAATTGGAATTACAGTTAATTGGAATTACAGTTAATCTTGTCATCCATAGGCATGTGAGGGAACCATTCTAGATGAGTGTGTCCTTTGGAGAGGCTTTGGTCTGGTGCCCTGGACCCAGGCAATAAGGTGTTCAGCTCCAAAGTGCTATTGGAGACAGTGTGTGGAAGAGGCATGGACCTTGTCAAGAGAACATCTGGGATGGGGATGAGGATGGTTAGTGTTTGTGTCATGCGATTTTCCTACCGACTCCGGCCAGATCCTGTGAATGAGAGAGAGTAAAGCCAGGTTAGCAACAATGACCCACCAGCTCCTGTGGAGAAGAGGGTTCCCACAAAGAAGGCAGAGGGTGTGCCAGACATCCAGTGAAGAGAGCAGTGGAGTGATCCTTCTGGTACACCCAAGGTAGCACCACCTCAGGTAGTACCACAGCAGCAAGCAGTGGTAACAACTGAGGCCTATGCTGCCCACCTTGTGACCCTTTTTCTGTTGTCCTCATGAAGCCCTAAAAGGAGAATATTGTCACGTGCCACTCCAATCTCTAAGTGGTGAGAGACTCTAGACTCCAAGTGCTTACCCAGGGTTTGGTTTCCTTTGGAATAAAGGTCAGTGGAGACTGCGGTGTCCAAGATATATGATTTTATCTTCACATGCATCCAAAATGAACATAGGATGGAGGGGTTCACAACATTAACACTCCAGCATATATGGTGTCCATTAGATTTCCAGCAAAGCCTCACAGTCCAGCAAAGAGCAAACATCTCTCTTTGTCTCCAGCTTCCAGTCTGCTTTCAGCTTACTTTCACATACAACTCTGGTTATTGTCCTGTTACCTACCAGCCAGGTAAGAGTGTGTGGAAGACCCACCCATTTGTTTCTCTGGCAACTTCTTTGGACGCATAATTTGCAGTAAACTAGTCAGCCCAAGCCATTTCCTTGACAAAGGAAGTGGTGTGGCAAGATTCCCCTTGCGCATTCTACCCTCACAGATATAGGATCCCAGGTTTGGAAGGGGAACCAGGGTTTCATCCAGACTGACACACACACACACCCTCATAACACTGTTTGTCCTCCCCTCATGTTTCTTAGTTGTACCCTAACTTTGCTGGTGGCTGACTTGGCATTCTGTGGGTACAGGATTGGCTCTATGTTGACAGATTCGTGGTACTCTGCCCATCTGCCCCCCCTCTGTTTCCCTCATAGGATTGCTGGTGCTGTCCGGATCACATGGGAGTGTGGCTTCCCTGTCCCTGGGGATGAAACTGCAAGGTCTGGGGGTGACTCCAGGGGGTGCTGCTTCCCTCTGTGCCCATACTGACACCTCCCATGCACTGACTGACCCTGTACTCCAGAGCTGCTAACAGAGACAGCTCCTGAGGAGCCAAGGCCACTATTGGTTGAGGCGGATTCTCCTGCAATGACTCCTGCATAGGTGAGATTTCCCCTTGAAAAGAAAGGGAGAGCACTATCCTAAGATGGGCGGTTCCTGTAGATATTTTATGGAATATCCCTCCCCCATCTCTCCAGACTGTGCACACTGCAGTCACTTTGGGTGGCAAAATGTGTTACACTCTCCCAAAAATTTCCTTCTCCACTCTCCTTATTCCAGGGTACTAATTAAACCTCCCCACAAACTCAGGTGGTTGGCTTGAGCCCTGAAACTTCTGTAATGTAAAATCAAGCAGTGACTGGACTACTTGCCTGCCCCGGGTTGCAAGTCCTATTGAAATTCTGTGGGAATCAATGTGAAAGGAGCCCAAGCTCTTGAGCCTCTGTGACCTTTGGAGTTAGAGCTACTTGCTTGCTCTGTGAATCAGGCATTGTGTTTGGGGCAGGACCCAAGAACTTTTCCTACACACAGAACAGCTCCACTAGGAGTCCAGCCAATAAGATAATGGAAAGCTTTGTACTATCTCAAGGCAGCACATACTGTTTTCTAGGCTGCACATTTATGCTACTAAAGATGTGCTGCAGCCAGAGTCTTTCAGATGGATGAGAGAGACTGGTTAAATGTGGGTTGAACAAGGTAATTGTTAGGTGGATTTGTAGCTGGTTGACTGATCGAACCCAAGAGTACTCATTAATGCCACAAGTTTCTGTGCTGGGCCTGTTCAACGTCTTTATAAACAACTTGGATGAAGGAATTGAAGACATGATCACCAAATTTGCAGATGACACAAAACTGGGAGGTTCTTTTGCCACAGAAGACAGAATCAGGATTCAAGATGACCTTAACTGAATGGAAAACTGGGCCCAAACTAACAAAATGAATCCAATAGGGACAAATGTAAGGTTCTGCACTTTGCCAGAAATAACCAGCTGCACAAATGTAAGCTGGGGAACATCTGGCTTGCCAGTAAGACATGTGAAAAGGATCTAGGGGTCTTCGTAGATCATGAGTTTAACTTGAGTCAACAGTGTGATGCGGCAGCAGCAAAAATAAAAGTAAAAAATGCTAATACTGCCTCAACAGAAGTATAGTGTCCAGATCAAGGGAAATAAAAGTACCACTCTTTCTGCTTTGGTCAGACCACACCTGGAGTACTGCGTCCAATTCTGGGTGCCACAATTTAAGAAGGATATTGACAAGCTGGAACATGTGCAGAGGAGGGCAACCCAGATGATCGAGGGTCTGGAAACCAAATCTTATGAGGAATGGTTGAGGGAGATGGGTATGTTTAGCCTGGAAAAGAGGAGAGAGTAGATATGATATATCTGATGAGCTTCAGTTAGTAAGGCTTGAGGATGTGGACAAGGTACTTGGATTGGTCAGAGTGACCACTTGCACTCTGGACCCTTTCTCCTCCTGGTTGATAGAAGTTAGCAGGGAGGCGACAGCTGGTTGAGCCAGGGAGGTAGTTCATGCCCCTTTACGATAGTGGGTGGTCCCTGCCTGTTTGATGGAGGCAGTGGTAAAACCACTCCTCAAGAAACCCTCCCTAGATTTGGAAAATCTAAGTAACTACCAGCCAGTTGCTAATCTCCCTTCCCTGGTTCTTGAGTGGGTTCTTGTGGACAGTGCTTTCTTCTGGCAGTACTCATAGAATCATAGAATCATAGAGTTGGAAGAGACCACAAGGGCCATCGAGTCCAACCCCCTGCCAAGCAGGAAACACCATCAGAGCACTCCTGACATATGGTTGTCAAGCCTCTGCTTAAAGACCTCCAAAGAAGGAGACTCCACCACACTCCTTGGCAGCAAATTCCACTGTTGAACAGCTCTTACTGTCAGGAAGTTCTTCCTAATGTTTAGGTGGAATCTTCTTTCTTGTAGTTTGGATCCATTGCTCCGTGTCCGCTTCCGTGGAGCAGCAGAAAACAACCTTTCTCCCTCCTCTATGTGACATCCTTTTATATATTTGAACATGGCTATCATATCACCCCTTAACCTCCTCTTCTCCAGGCTAAACATGCCCAGCTCCCTTAGCTGTTCCTCATAAGGCATCGTTTCCAGGCCTTTGACCATTTTGGTTGCCCTCCTCTGGACACGTTCCAGTTTGTCAGTGTCCTTCTTGAACTGTGGTGCCCAGAACTGGACACAGTACTCCAGGTGAGGTCTGACCAGAGCAGAATACAGTGGCACTATTACTTCCCTTGATCTAGATGCTATACTCCTATTGATGCAGCCCAGAATTGCATTGGCTTTTTTAGCTGCCGCGTTACACTGTTGGCGTCATACTCAAAGGTATGCAGTACCAGCACCTCCCCCCCAAAATCTTGCGGTGACCCTCATAGTATTTTCCACCTCTACGATTCTGCTATTCCATCCTCCAACCCCTGCATCTA